AAAAGTCAGAATTCTAAGAAAAAAGTCAGAATTCTGAGATTAAAGTCAGAATTCTTTCCCAGATTACACTGAAATAAAATAAAAAAAATCAGTTAACCTTTTTTTTTCAGTGGCCCTAATCCTCTTCCATAAAGATGAATTGTTAAGTGGTATGAAAAGAATTATAAATAAATGATTGTTTGGAAAACTGACAGAGCTTCCAAGCAGCATGATCGCATAGCCTAGATTGTTTCATATGAACAAGTTTATCTACAGCACCTACCGGCCTCAATGCACCCGCCTGCTTCATAACCTCAACCTAAACCAGGAAGCAGATGCTGTCTGTTTCTGTAGAGGGAAAGAAATGCATTTCAGGATTGGTCAAGAAGATGTAGGGAAATTAATATCCTTTTCTGATGGTAAAATAAAAGACACAATGCTTTACTCTCACTGTAGATCACATCTAAATACATTCATTGTCACCTCTTTGTGATTTTATCCAAGCCGCTCGAGGTCCACCTAAATGTGAAGGATTCTCTTCTCAAATCTTAGTGCTTCTTTGTTGAGATTTCTCGAGGTACTGTACAATTTACAAATGCTTTCCTGAGTGTTATTTGCTTTTTGTTTAGGTTTGTTTGTTTTGCAGAGACGTGATTTGGGGCCCAGACTGCGGCTTCCCCAACGGACTGTCACAACAACACAAAATAAAGGATGAATACCGTCGATCTGTTTCAGACTCTCTGCTGAAGGTTTAAAGCTCTTAATAATCATCAGCTCATGCCATGTATTTAGATTATGAGGCAAATTAAGGGAACTCAGAAAAGCACCACTTCAGGCACTTGGATAGCCAACTAAATCTCGAGAACGACGACATACGATATATGTACACGGACACTAGGGCGTCTCACGTGAAGCTGACTTGCTTGAAATGTGTAAACGGTGCCTGGCTTGATACGCATTTGGATTCAGATTCTTTCATTGACTTCAAAACTGCTTGTCACGTCAAAACCAGGTCTCTGTGAGGACACAGCGAGTCCCGTCGGCCCTCTGTGGGGCCTTTCCCTCTAGCACAATGCTAACGCCCTGAGGGGAGGAATTGTGGAAGCCTCTTTTTCTCAAGGGCAGTGCTTATTTGTTCACTGGCTGCAGCCGAACATTTTGTTCCACTCAGTGTACGTGTCAATCTCTTTCTGCGATATACTGGCTTGGAATTTACAACAGACGCCTTCAATGTCCTGGTAGGTGAGGGGCCTGATCTGGCCCCGGGGCATCATGCCCGTCATGTCCATGCCCTGTGCCGATGCGTGTAACAGACCCACGAGGGCCTCCTGGCAGAGTCTGGCCAAATCCAGTCCAGAGAAACCCTCGGTGCGCCGCACCAGCAGCGCCAGCTCCTCCTCGCTTAAGCAGAATTTGTGCTGGGACTGGGCCAGGACCTGGTTCATGATCTGGTGTCGAGCTGCGCTGTCCGGTAAGGGCACTAGAACCCTCCGAGTAAAGTACCTCCGCAGGCCTTCATCCATGTCTTGAGGTCTGCTTGTGGAGCAAATGACCAGGACTTGGTTTCCTCCGTCTTCACCTGAGCTCATGAGCAGAGAGTCCAGCTGGGTGAGCAGTTCCCCCTTCAGCTGGGTAATCGGACTCTCTTCACTGATGTGGGCGGAGAGGAGCATGTCCACCTCGCTAATAAAGAGCACTGAGGGCTGCCGGCAACGGGCCACCAGGAACGAGGCGCGGATAATTTCCTCTCCGTCGGCCAGCCACTTGGTGGCCAAAGTGGAGCCGCTGAGCTGGAGAAATGTCGCCCCCAGCTGACTGGCGAGGCAGCGGCCCAGCAACGTCCTGCCGCTGCCCCGCGGGCCAAACAGCAACACGCAGCGAGGGGCCAGTCCTAAACCGTTAAACATGTCTGGACGCAGAATGGGCCACAGGACCTCCTCCTTTAAGGTAACTTTGGCCAGTTCTAGACCTGCAATGTCACTCCAGTCCACAGGGGGACCCTGCTGAACGATTTCTGAGGTCACAAGGTCCAAGAGGTGAGGGTCACAGGTTTTTAATTGCTCCTCGGTTGGGCGGGATGAGGCAGAGGATGAGGAGGAGGAGGTAGGCCCTGGTGCTGAGTGGGAAAGGTGGAGGCGGTGATCATCAGCACCTTGCTCACTAAGGGAGGGGGAAGTGAAGCTGGCGAGAGAGTCTGCGGAGCGTGAACCCCCCAGGGTGGAGGACACGTAGGCAGGGGGGGTCAGCGGCCCACCTGTTGCCTGGTTGCTGTACTTTCTCTGCTCGGATGGCATTGTGGATTGTTTCTGAGGATTAAAGGGTAAGGATGACTTCTCTGGGTTCCTGTCGAAGCCGCCCCCGCTGTTGGAGCCTCCGTTTGCACTGCTGCTGTCCGCCACCCTGTACATGGGGCTCTCTGCTGAGCTCCGTGCCTGGGGATAGCCAAAGTTCCCATAGGATGGGTCCATCTCTCCTTGGCCTGTCATGTAGAAGGCTTTGCGCTTCAACGTGTTGGAGGAGCTGCTGTTGAGGGGAGTGGGCGCGATGGGCGTCAGGTTGTGGCTCTGATACGGGTATCCGGGTAAGCCAGAGGACGGAGGGAGAGGAGTGGGAGCGGCGATGCCTGAGGGGAGGTATGAGGAGGGAGGGGGTGCTCCTCCAGGGCTGTATCCAGGCCCAACAGAGCTCTGAGCTGGGTAGCCTGCTGGGGGGTAATTATAACTAGACAAGTTGGGGGAGCCTCCATTGTAAGCTGGAACAATGGTGGGGTGGGGAGGTGGCGGAGGGGGCTGCAGCAGCCCAGAGCTGTGCAGTGGAGAAGGAAGGGCAGCGGAGGGGGTAGACTGGGAGCTGTAACTACTGTGCAGGTATGAGCCGCTGTAGGTGGGGCCGTATTCCTGAGAGGTCATGGAGGAGGAGTGGAGCGCCGTAGCAGAGTGGCTCCCACAGCTGCTGCTGGAGTAGCTGGGCTCGCTGAGGGTGCTGGAAGCCAGGCCGGGCGAGCTGCAGATGCCAGAGACCACTTCGGAGGCTGCGGCCACGCCCCCCTTCCTGACGGAAACGCCCTCCGGGATGCAGCTCATGGGGTAGACGCCATCCTGCCAGGGCTCCGACTCACCTTTCCGGCCGTTCATCACTCCGGGCACCTCGGAGTAAGAAGCCGGCATCTCAAGGATCCCGGAGTATTTCTCGGCGTACTTCTTCAGCAGGTTGGAGGCGGTGAGGGCAGATATGTCGTCGTTGGCCCAGGCGTACTGGTAGGTGGAGGAGCGCTGCAGGTGGCCAGACACCGCCCTGTAGGCCTCAGCCTTGTGGGCTGGTGAGCGGGTGGTAGAGGAGATGTCGAAATGCTGTTCGGCCCACTGGCTGTGCTCTGGGGTCCACTGCATCTTCAAGCCTGAGAGGACAGACATAGAAACATAACTTCAGAATCAGGACAAGACTATTTTAGATAAAGTTAAAAATAAAACACTGATTTTTTCATATTTTCTCTTAGTGGATCCACAAACTTTTATAAGACATGGAACATAGTATAAAGTAATAGGATAATCAGAAATATCTGCAAATAAAGGAAAATTGAAAAGAACGGCATCATTCACAATCAACTCCTCCGACTCACAAATATGCAGATCTATTTTTTACTGTGATTACTATGGAAGAGGATTAGGGCCACTGGAAAAAAAAAAGTTAACAGATTTTTTTATTTTATTTCAGCATAGTATGGGAAAAAAGTCAGAATTCCGACTTTAATCACAGAATTCTGAATTTAATCTCAGAATTCTGACTTTAATCTCAGAATTCTGACTTTAATCACAGAATTCTGACTTTAATCACAGAATTCTGACGTTAATCACAGAATTCTCACTTTAATCTCAGAATTCTGACTTTAATCTCAGAATTCTGACTTT